ATACGTACGCAACCCAGGCAACGATTAGTTCTGTGAAACAAAGCAAAACTAATGTTACACCGTGTCTACATCGGATGTGAGCAGCGCGGCGCAACAAATCCCCGACAGAAAACTGCTGCCAGGTTCTATTTATGACGTGCTGACACAAATTTCAAATGGTTTTCAACGGTCGCTTGATCGCGTCCAGAGTAGGCAGACTTTAGCTGTTGTAGACACGGTGTTACTCACCTATCGAGAAGAAACAAAGCAACCTCGGCGTCCGATCGCAGGCCTCCGCTCTTGAGTTCTCTCCAGCGCTGGAAAGCTGATCCCATATTTACACGGGTCCTACTTCTTGCCTTATCGTTCCGCAGACGGTTTCCTCTTTTGTTTTTTATCCGCCATCTCTATCTTTCTGTCGCTCGGCTCGCTAATCTCCGTGCTGTGCACTGAAAGCTCTCTCCTCCACATCACGAGTAGACACGCCCCTTACTGCTGATTGGCTACAAGTTTGTTTTGTTATTCGGCCCGAATCAGTTTTCTAAAGCGTTTTTGAAAAATTACATACCCCACCTTTAACCTGACAAAAAAAAAATTCCATATGCTAAATGCAGTGAAAATAATGCATCAAAATACATCTGTAAATAATCTGTGACTTATCCAAGACTATAATATATATTAAAAAAAATCTGTTTCCCATTTTGTAAATGGAAAATAATTGTGTTTTCATTAAAAAAAAACAGTGGCATTACACAAACAAAATGGCATTTAAAGGGTTAAAATCCTGAAACTGATTAATTTTATTATTTAAATCATGTAATTACAAATAGAGACAGAAAACTAAATTGTTTTCTTTCTTTTTTTTTTTTATTAATGCTTTAATTTATATGCTTGTGCTGTTTTAATTTTCCCACACTTATCTGTTGGATGATCAACTTATGAATATACAAATCAATCACTACCTGCTGTTGTATTTCAGTTTTACTTAAAAAAAAAAAAAAGTACTAACATTTATTTTTGTATTTTAAAACCGCAAACAGGTTGAGCATAAAACATATATGAGCAATTGTAATATCTTTTTTTAGTTTGTTTCAGGATGGTAAGTAAATCTAAAACCATAACTTCGTCACTTGAAATAAAATATAAATAAAATACAACTTTTTATTTCAGCTACTTGCAACATTTCTCATTTAAACTAAAACCATTTTAAAAATCATATCAAATCATATTACACTAATATGGTTTGTTTGTTTGCTTAGTAAACACTACAAGTAATCAGGCCACAAGTTTCCAAGCACTGTTTAGCTTAACAACAAAAATGTATTAAATAATGGAATTTGGTGTAAATGTTTTCAAATTATGTATGTGGTTTAGTGATATGAATATAATATAGCTGCAGTAGGATTCTTATGTCACGACAAATTTCATAGATTTTTGTGTAGTGTAGGGCCTGTATAAGCTAATCAGGGTTTGCTCACACCTGCACTTGTTACAGGCTGTCCTTGCATGATGTAACTGCTGCTCTTCACACACACACACACACACACACACACACACAAAGCTTTTAAGCCCGTCCATTCTGCTGACGCAGAGAGCGAGGGCTAATCTCAACACCCATCTCACATCCAACCTGTTACAATGTTACACCTAATAACACACAGATTTCCCTTCTGAACATTCTGTTCTTCTGAGTTACTACCAGCAGTGCAACAATACATCTCTACAGAGTCACCCATATAACACTGGGTTATTCTCCGGGAACAGTGCCATTAGAGAACGAAAATCAGAAAGCTCTTTGAACTTTCAATAAATTCTATATTTAGAGTTATTACAATTAACTAAAACTATGAAAAGTCTTTCATTACTTGAAAGAAAATATACTTTAACTGGAATAACTTTAAATGATACATAAGTTTATATTAATTTAACTTGATGTACTAAAATATCTAAAACTGAAATAAAAGTGTATATATATATATATATATATAGACATCTGATACAACAAAAAAAAGTGACAAAAACTACACTCTAAAAAATGCTGGGTAAAATAGGGACAAACCCAGCAATTGGGCTGTTTTGACCCAGCGGTTGGGTTACTACCCAGAAGGTTGTGTTAAACATTTAACCCAACCGCTGGGTCAAAACAA